TAAATAAAATACTAATTGATTATAAATAATAAATGATTAATAATATAAAATGATTAATAATATAATGGAATTTTCCGGCGACTTCTGGGTTTTTTGCATAATTTTTGTTTAATCCATTTCTCTCGTCCTCGCCATCTTCGTTGTTTAACGTGGCGTAGTTTATGTGCCTTTTTGATCATGTGTATCACATGATCTTTTAGATTAATATCTTCCTATAACAGTAAGAATATATTTAGTTAATGCTTTTATCAGGTAAAAGTATATTATGTTATCAATTTGATAAATAATACATTTGTAAATGTGAGTATAAATTTTATAATAATTAAATTATTAAAAATTTGAAATAAAAATAAATAAAAATTTAAAAAGTATACGATTTTTATAGAATTTAATTTAAATAGTATAAAAAATTTTAAATATTCAATGCTAATGATTTTCTCTTTTTCTTAAAAAATTTTTAGTTTGATATTTAGTTATAATTTGTAATAATAAATTCAAATAAAACAAAAATAAATTGTCTATAATGAATCTGACTTTGATAATAATATAGCTAAAGGTAATTCTATTACTATACAAAGATAATATTCTAATTAACCACCTGCTAAAAAGCTTAAACTAAACTAAATAATATTAAGATATGAACTAGTTGAGTCTAAATTATTTTGATATTAATAGAGATGATACTAAAAATATATATGCTCAATGCAAAGTTATTAATGATAAAATAAAAAATTTTTTATACTAGAATAATAGGAAATTTAATTAAACATCTCACATGCAAACCTACTTTAACAAAAAATTTATTTATTTCTCTTATCAAAAATAAGTTATTTATATTTTAATATTAATTATATTTATAATTTAGTTTAATTAAAATAATAAAATATTAAATAATAATAAATATATTTTATATTGAATAAGTTAAAATAAGCAAAATTACAACTATAATCAAATCTGTTAATTCTACTAAACAAATAAAATTGTATTTTACTAAAATACAAACACATTATTATCAAAAAGCTTTAAATTAAATTTTAGAAAATATAACCTATCAGCTATGTAAAAAAACTGGATTTTAATAAATTATTTAATTTTTTTGATTCATATGTTACTATATTTTCAGATCATAAAATTCATGAAATATTATCAAAATCTTATAATTACACTTTTCAGGAATTAATATTTTAATTAATAAAGTAGCTAAGTCTATTGTTTTAACTACAGATAGTTGGTCTTCAAGAAGTTATCATTCTTATATTAGTACTATAACAATATAATGTAATTTCAATTTGATATTAAAGAAATTCTTTTATCAATTGAACAGTTTGATCACTCACATACAATTGAAAAAGTTAAGGCTAAAATGGATAAATATATTCATAATTGAAATTTAGATTTAAAATTTATAATAGTAACTTATAATAATGGATTCAATTTCAGGTGTTACTAGAATTCTGTGTATAGCTCATACATTATAATTAGCTATTAGAATATGTTTAAAATATGTTTGAAGTTTATTGCTTGTATAAATGCATTAATTCATTTTTTTCAGATTTAACTAAATAAATATAACTGTTAAAAAAAGTATAAAAAGAAACACAAAAAGTTTTAAAGTAAAAACAGATGTTATTATATATTGAAATTCAACTTTTTATGTATGAAAGCATCTTTTAAATTACATTTTATAATTATAACAGTAAAAAAATAATTAGTACATATTCAACAGATATTAATGATAAACGAAAGCTTAATTTTATTATAACTTGTTGAAAAATTAACATTTAAACTTAGATAATTTTTATATTTTATATATAAATATTTTTATATTTTATTAATGTTAGATTTATTTTAATATAATGGTAATTCATATGTAATATTAATTCATACTGGTATTGATTTTAGTTTAGATGAACTTAATAATATCTACTATTATGATGAAGATACTGTTTTTGAAGCTTTATGGAATGAAAGTGTTGATAAAGATGATATTATCGCAATTAAATATGAATTTTATACTGATATAAATAGTTGATGTCATAAAAGAAAAAAATCAATTAATATATCAATATTATTTGATTCTACAGAAATTGAAATACAAGTACAAAGAATATTATATAGAGCTATTAAATATTATTGGTCAGTTCAAGATGATATAAGTATTTATTGTATTTATTAAAATATTTTACAATATATATTTTAATATTATTTTTATTAAAAATTAGACTTATGGTAAGTCTATTAGATTCAAGATAGATAAATCTTTCATTTGTAATACAAGAAGAAATTAAAAGAGTATATAAATTATTGTATATTGAATGTGAATTAATAAAATATAAGAAACAATTGAAAGAGAAAATACAAGTAAAGATTTTAATAATAAACTAATTATTATTTATAAAAATAGTGATAGTCATACTATTAATTCAAATTTTAGTAATGATATTTCTGAAAAAAAACAAGAAGGTAAAGGAGAAAATAGTAGTAATAATTATATTTAAAATGTTTATGTTTATGAATAAAAAGAAGGAATTGAAGAAGAAGAAGAGGAAGAAAAAGAGGAAAAAGAAGATAAATATAAAAGTATTTTGAAAATGTTCAATCTTATAATAATAATATTAATGCTGAAATTTCCAATTTTCTTGTGCGTTCTCCTTTTTTAGATATTGATACAAATCCATTTGAATGGTGAAGAAATCATCAAATAAAATTTTTAGAATTATGCAACTTGTATGAAAATACCTTATCCCTTAAACTTTAGAGATTCGCAGTGTTAACCCTACGCTCAACCGTCGAACTTAGGGCAACTATGACTTAATAACAGGGAGTAACGTGCGAGAAACTA